TCTCTCTCTCTCTCTCTCTCTCTCTCTCTCTCTCTCTCTCTCTCTCTGTGTGTGTGTGTGTGTGTGTGTGTGTGTGTGTGAATTGAATATGGAGGCTAATCAACCTGGCTCTAAAATAACCAGGCAAAAATGCATTTGGAGAAGCTGGCAACTGGTCCGAGAAAGGCCAAATCCAATTCCAAACTGGCTCATTAGTGGCAGTGAGAGTTATCCCAAGTAGCTTGCTATCTTTGTCTCTAAGAATCAGAGGCTATCTTCAGCTTGGAATTGGAGAACCAGGCAAGACAGAAGAAGACAGGCACACTGACTCCTGCATAGTAGACACTACCGAATGCCTGGCTTGAGAGCTCGAGAGCAATCTGCTTTTACAACCCTGTTGGTACTTGAAAGCAAGGTCATAATTATTCCAGGTCTAGAGTTGACAAGTTTAGCAAATGTATCTTTCATCTTCCCAGCCTTGAAGCCCGGAATTGGAATGAGGAAACCTGATGATGTTTCAGGGCCTCCTACAGCTTCTGAATGGGACAGAGGCTGAGAATGATCTGAGGTGACCTCCATCCCTGAGACTAGATGACAGGGGATAGATAAGTAGGAGACACTTCCCTTCCAGAGTTCTCCATCTTACCTGGCACATTTACAGTTATCATGTTATGGTTACCCCACAATGATAAAATTATTTTTGTTGTTATTTCGTAAGTATAATTTTGCTAGTTATAAATCCTAATGTAACTATCTGCAGTTTTGGATGATCTTGGGCGACCCCTGTGAATGGTGAGTCAACTCCCAAAAGGTAGAGATCCATAGGTTGAGAATTTTTTAAAAAATTATCTTTAATCTTTCTTTATAGTCCAGTCATTATCCCCCATCCTGGACTGACCTCCGACAGCAACATAGGGTGCCCCACCCCCCCTTTCACCACTCCCTGGGGCCTCGAGTCTCTGGAGGGTTAGGTGCCTCTTCTCTCACTGAGCCCAGATCAGCCAGTCCTCTGCTGTTATACGTTGGGGACTGGTGGGGGTGGGGAAGTAGAAGGTGTGGGGGGATGGGTAGGGGTAGGGGTAGGGGTAGGGGCTTTGGACCAACTACTGTATGCAGCCTGGTAGGAGGCTCAGTGTCTGAGAGATCTCATAGGTTGAGAATTCTGAGGATTCTATTTTGTTGGTTTTTTGTTTGTTTGTTTGTTGTTTTGTTTGTTTGAGGCAGGGTTTCTCTATGTAGCCCTGACTGTCCTAGAACTCACTTTGTAGATTAGGCTGGCCTTGAACTCAGAGATCTGCCTGCCTCTGCCCCCCAAGTTCTGAGATTCTGTGATTGCATGACCACTGTCCAGCTGGAGAACCTCAGATTTTGATGATTTATCTCAATACCTAGTCTCAAAGATAAGTTTATAATTAAAGCCTGTTTTAATTAGATAATAAGATCTAGATATTTCCAACACCTCTTCCTACGTTGCTCTTCAGGGTTCAGCTTCCCCATGCTCTGCTCATACAGCTTTGTCTAGACTACTGTTATAGCATAGTGGGGTATGTGCTTATTACCTTAACAAATTATGTTTTCTGTTGTTTTTTGTTTTTGTTTTGTTTCTTTGTTTTAGACAGCATTTCACCATGTATCCTTGGTTGGCCTGGAATTTGATTTATATACCAAACTGGCTTGAAACTTGCAGAGATCCCCTACCTCTACCTCCAGAGAGGCATACAGAACCATACTCAGGCTCACACTGTTTCTTGAGTTTGGGGACTGCATTTAATTTTTTTAGTGTGTGGTACTAAGTGATTATTTTACAAGTAGTAATGTATATTTTACCTTTATACAAGCCCAAGCTCTTTTATTTTAAACAACGTCTTTCTTTTGGGTGCTTGTAAAAGGTAGTCTATATTGTTTTGTGAGAATTATAAAAACAGTAAGATTCATTTTAAGAAAGTTAAACTATTTAAAATGCAAAGGATAGTAAGTGAAACTTCATCTATATTTTCAACACACCTCTCTGTCACTCCTAACACTCTTAAGACATATCCTCATAAACATGTTAATTTGTGTATTACTGTGTGAATCAGACATATCCTCACAC